TCATCTGGCTTCTCTTCTGCTGTTGGTGCATTTTGAATTATGCTTGGTAGTCTATTTATGCTTGCAAGCTTTTAAGATCCCAGTTGCTACTCACCAAAGTAGGAGGTGGAACAATGTTTTGTGTAGTATGTTATGCCAATTGAGCTTGATGTTCCATGACTATGGTCCCGAGCCCACAGGTTCAACTACTCGGTCCCTCTGGGTAGCTGGCTGTGACTAAAAAGTGTGTAGCAAAGTTTTAACAGATAAAATGGCTCAACGTTGGGGATTTGCTTTACAAGGCTAAAAAAAAAAAAATTGGGGGGGGGGAATTGGAGGACTATAGAGGAGCCCTGGAGGTGCAGTGGTTAAGAAATTAACCAAAATGTTAGTGGTTCGACCCCACCAGCTACTCTATGGGAGAAAGATGTGGCAGTCTGCTTCCTTAAAGATTAAAACCAAAACAAAACCACTGCCATTGAGTCAATTCCAACTCATCATGACCCTAATAAGGGCAGTGTGGAACTGGCCCATAGGGTTTCCAAGGCTATAAATCTTTAATGGAATCAGGCTGTCTCAACTTTCTTCTGCAAGGCAGCTGGTAAATTCGAACTGCCAACCTTTTGGTTAGCAGCCCCATACTTTAACCACAATGCTACCAGAACTCCCTAAAAATTATAGCCTTGGAAACTCTATGGTGAAGCTCTACCCTGTCCTATAGGGCCACTATGGGTTGGAACTAACTTGACAGCAATGGGTTTGGTTTGGTTAAGGGAGTACATGATTCAAGATCGGATAAATGTCAATTACCTGTTGAAGCCAGGTAACATGAGCATTTATTATACTTCTCTTTCTACTTTTGTACGTATTTAAAAATTTCCATCATAAAAAGATTTTTTCAAAAGGGTTGAGAACACTCATGAATCCAGCTGCAAAATCTCTTTCCTCAAGTGAACAAAAAAATATGCATAGGAAATAAACATAATCAATGTCACTGAACTGTACACGTAAAAACTTGAATTGGCAAATATTTGGTCACAGACATTTTTACTCCAATTAAAAAATATATGTATGTGTAAGGGCTTGTGCTATAGCTTTGTCTGCAGGAGGAAAAGCTTGGAAATCATCTCAGCGTCTGTCAATAAGATAACAGAAAGAACAAAAGAGGCAGCGGACTAATACACAGCCATGACAAAAGATATGGCAGCTGTGTACAGAATGATGGGAGTGACTTCTAGCAATATGAAAAGGGTACACAGCAGGCTACCATCTGCGCAAACAGGAAAGTAGCCAGAATGTCATCAATGGCTATAGGTACTCAGGATATTTCTGAAGGGAGTTATAAGAACCAGGGAACCTTCTCTGTGGAGAAGAGAAGTGGCGGGCAGAAGATGACAGGCCCCTTTATTCTTTTCCTCATGCCCAGGCTGGGTCACACATTGTGAAACCTGAGGGTGGGGTGGGAACACAACATTTAAGAAAGACCTTACGGTTCGGGCCTGTGTGGGAGAAGAGCTAGCGGGATCACAGCAGAGGCCTTAGAGGTAAGCAGCCGCCGGCTCTCAGTGGTGTGAGCAGCTTTGTAACGATCCTCACAAGACCAAGCGAACACTCAGGTGGAACCTACTCGTCTGCCAGATTTTGTTCTAACTATTTATATATCATAACTCATTTACCTCCCAACAACCCAATGAGCTGGACACATTAGTATCTCCCTCTCACAGGCCCAGAGAGTTCATGAGAAGTCCCTCGCCCAAGATCACAAAGCGATCCAGAAATGATATGAGTTAATATTCACTTGGGCCCAACATGAGCTTATTTAACCTTCCTAACAGCCTAGTGCCTAAGGCACTTGACTGCTGATCAGAAGGCTGGCGGTTCAAACCCACCAGCCACTCCTTGGAAGGAAGATGGAGCAATCTACTTCCATAGTGATACTGCCTCGGATACCCAAGGAGGGGTCGCTATGGGTCGGGTTCCACTTGACGGCACGTAACAACAACAACAACAGCCTTATGAGGAGCTCTGGTGGTGAAATGGTTAAGGTATTTGGATGCTGACCAAAAGGTCGGCACTTCGAATCCACTAGATGCTCTGTGGAAGAAAGAAGAGGCAGTCTGGTTCCATAAACATTTACAGCCTTGGGAACCCAATGGGGGTAGCTATGAGTCGGCATTGACTCAATGGCAGTGGGTTTGGTTTGGTTTGGTTTGAACAGCCCTATGAGGAGCCTTGGTGGTGCAGTGATTAAAGCATCAGCTGGTAACCAAAAGGTCAGTGTTTGGAACCCACATGCCACTCTGCAGCAGAAAAGTAAAGCAGTCTGCTTCAGAAACCCTATGGGGCAGTTCTGCTCTGTCCTACAGAGCCATTGTGAGTCAGAATTGACTCGGTGGCAATGGGTAGCAGCCCTAGGACAAAGATTTGGTTCTCACCTCCATTGCCCAAATGGAAAAATGGAGGCGAAAAGAAGGGGAGCGACAGGAGGTCACCCAGCTCGTGGGAAACAGGCTTGGCAACCTGCTCCGGAAAGGTCACAGGCTTCACAAGCCTGGGAGTTCTGTTCTGCACACGTGGGTTCTGCCACGACTCAGAATCAACTGAATGGCAACTAAGAATTCTAGCTACAAGGCGTGCGTTCTTAACCCACCCTCTTCTGCAGTGGTAAAGCACTCCAGGACAATATTTTCTTTTAGCTTAAATTTTAATAAATAGTCCATTTACCTCATTCAAAAAGATAGACAGTGAAATGTCTCCCTCCCACCCAGGTGCCTTGGTCTTCCAGTTCTCAGACATGCACAGTTCTCACTATTACTAGATTCTTGCATATCTTTCTAGAGTTTCTTCAGGCAAATAAAAGCGTATATTCTTATTTTCCCCTTTTTATATAATGCAGGGTCAGCAAACTTTGAGCTGAAGGCCAAATCGGAGTTTATCACCTGTTTTTATAAATGCAGTTTTATAGGCAGATGGCCACACCCATTTCCATGACCTAAGCTGCTTGCATGCACAGCTGAGTATTTGTGAGAGAGACTGCCCAAGGCAAAGTATTTACTATCTGGTCCTCTAAGGAAAAAGGAGCTCTGGTGGCACAGTGCCCAAGGCATTTAACTGCTAACCAGAAGGTTGGCGGTTCAAACCCACCAGCCACTCCATGGAAAGAAGACAGGGTAGTCTACCTCCGTAAAGATTTACTGCCTTGAAAACCCAGCAGGGCTCGCTATGAGCTGGAATCGACTCAATGACAGTGGATTTGGTTTGGTTTGGTTCTAAGAAAAAGTTTGCCAACTCCTGGCCTAAAGGAAGCAGCCATACCCTCTATTCTGCAGTTTTCTTTCTCCACATAACCATCTACCTCAGAGAACTTGCCACACCAGAACATAAAGAACACTCTCATCCTTTTTCACCACTATGTGGTATCCCACTGTGTGAGTACATATTGCTTAATTGGCTCTATTGTCGTAAGACATCTGAGGGGTTTCCAAGGTTTTACTCCTACTAAGACTGCCACAACTCCTATACCCAACACCTCCCACATCCTACAAATGTGTTGGCAGGATAAATTCCCAGAAATGATTTTGCTGACTTGGGGGCCCAGGCATGGGCAGCAGGGTGGGGAGGGGAAGTCTGTGAGTGAATCTCCTGAAATTAAATGGAGGTGGCATACACGTGGGTATTTTTCTGAGCAGGTTCACAAAGGGCTGGTGACTATGGTTGGACCTGGGACCCGAGGGTGGGGACAGCAGTTTGGTATTGGGAGGTCCAGGGCCTGTGGCCCAGGTGGGGCACTTACCGAGATCATCGGCAAGCCGCTGGCCATCTTCAGCAGGCACGACACGCTCATCTTCTAGGTCACACTTGTTTCCCACAAGGATAACTTGGGCATTGTCCCAGGAGTAAGTCTTGATCTGTGTGGCCCTGTGGAGTTTGGAAGCCATGAGCCAGAGCTCAGAGGGGCAAAGGGCAAAAGTCAGAGGGTCAGAGGTCAGCAAGCACTCACCAGTCCTGCACAGCGGCAAATGACTCCTGGTTGGCGACGTCATACATGAGCAGGAAGCCCATGGCTCCGCGGTAGTAAGCTGTGGTTATTGTGCGGTAGCGCTCCTGGCCAGCCGTGTCCTGGGCAGACAGCAGTGTCAGGTGGCTAGAACCCACCCTACCCCCCCTCCTACCCCCACAGGGCTCTGATGGGGGCACCACCCTTGCCCACAGCCTTCATTCTGATGGGGGAGGCATGGGCCTGCCCACCCAGTCTGATGGGGGAGGCATGGGTCCATTCTCAAAGGAACACTCCTCCATCTCATGGGAGAGGTAACAGCCCTGCCCTTGAGGGGTGCTCAGTCTGAGGGGTCCATGGCCTTTCACAGATTTATAAGCCAAGAAACAACTTAATGACCCTCACAAAAGCCACATATAAATGTGAACCCTGGAGCTCATCTTACCATGACAACTGTTACCAGCAGCTGGAGATGAGGGGTGGCTCTGGGCCATTCTCCCTGACCCCAGAACCCTCCATTGGCATAGACTTCCCCTCAGCCTCCCCTGGGCCTACAGACTCCACCCCTCACCACAGACCCCACGGACACCCAGCACACCCAGATCTGTAGCTTGATCCTCTTGTCATGGCGGTAGACAGTCTTGACTTTGAAGTCGATTCCTACAGTACTGACGAAGGCTGGTGTGAAGGAGTCATCAGCATAGCGGAATAGGAAAGACGTCTTGCCCACGCTGCTATTGCCAATCAGCAACAGCTTGAACATGTAGTCGAAGTTCTGGTCAGCTGCATCCCGCGAGCCTGTAGGGGGCTCTCCAGCTGACGCCATCTTGCAGGCAGGGAGCCTCCTGGGAAGAGGCCTGAACTCCTCAGATGGGGAGGGCTGGTGCCCTGCAGGAGAATAAACCACCAATAATGGCGTCAGTGTATGCACCAGGCCTGGCATTGAATTCTGGATCTGCCACTTGGAGACCAGGTGACCCTGGACATATCCTTGACCTCTCTGTATATACCTATACCTCTCTGTACATACCTCAATGTCCTCATCTGGAAAATGAGGATATTTGATGGCATAAAATGAGGTTTTTTTTATTCATCCTACATTTATTGAGTGCCTACTCTGTGCCAGGACCTATTCCTTGTTGCTGGGACACAGCTGTGAATAAGACAGGAAAAAGCCTACCGTCGGGGTGGTCATATTCCAATGGGAGGTACACATAATGGTCATAAGACAGTGCCTGGTATACAGTGGGTGTTCTACAAATGTGACTGATCTTTAGTCTTCACACCCTCCCGGAGAAACCGGGCCTTATTATGGGGAAGGAGGGCACTGAAGCCCAGAGATAAGAAAGCTGGCACCTGGCAAGGGAGGGGGAGAGGCAGGGTCTGAAGGCAGGTGCTCAGGCAGAGGGAGTTGAGGGGGCATGAGCACCTCGTCGGGCCGTGGGAGAGGGAACCAGGCTCTGCGGAAGGTACAACCGTGGACTTTGCCCCAGGGTGAGCATCTGGCCGTGGCCCAGGTGTGAGTTGGGGGGGACCTGTCAGCTGAATGGAGGCCCCCTCCTCCAGGCCAGGATGTTGCCTTTGGCAGATGTCAGCTACAGGGTGCCTGCCCACTCAAGCCTGGTTTAACCCCTTCCCTGAGCCCACCAGGAGCTGGTTTCAATGGATCCAGCCCAGGTTTAAAGGCCAGGCTCTACTGTCAAGTAAGCACTACCATTTTCTGTTTGTCAAAGGGGCCGGTCCTGTCTCCCTCTGGGTAGGGCTGACTCACCCCAGCTCCAGCCCACGGAGGCCAGAATGAGTCCTCAGATCCCAAGGAAACCATCCCAACCACTTAATAATCACAGCACCCCCACCCCCACCTCGTCCTGGGTCCCTCCCTGGCATTGTGTTCCTGCCACTAGGCTGGTAAACTTGCAGCTGCCCACACACCAGCATGCTGTCTCATCTGGATCCAGGCACCCCCTCAGCCTCCCCTAGGCCTCAGTTTCCCCATCAGTCTAGGGGCTGCTTCTCATCCTTAGGGAGGGTTCAGAAGGCATGCGGGAATGGAGGGCATACAGGCAGAGGAACCGCTAGCAAATCTATTTCCCAAGCACCTTTGGGGCTTTTTTCCATTTTAAAGGAGGACCCAAACGGCCCCCCTTGCCTGCCCATCCCTTGCCCCACCCCGTGTTCCGGGAGAACGAGTTTGAGGGGAAGAGAAGAGGCAGGAAATCTTTCCCCATGCTGGGCAAGCCGCAAGCTAGGGCCCCCACCCCAGCCCCAGCACCGCTCTGTCTGTCCCACCTCTTTCTGACCATCTGCCGACCACTCCCCTACGTCTGGCATTAGGTAAGAGTCCACAGAAGGCTCGGCCCTGCCTCCTTTACTGGATTTGGGGTGCCCCAGCCGCTGGAGGAAAGCTCAGGAGCTTCCCCCCATCACCATATGGTCCCATCTTCTGTCCCCACTTGGGCCCTCTACCTCACTGGCACCCCGTTAACTCTCCCCGAAGAGGCCAGCTAGGTGGGGGCGAGGAAAGAGGCGTCTCCCCGCGCCCCGCCTTTGTTCCCCGGGCCCCCTGCCTTCCTCCCAACCCCCGCCCCCCGGACCTGCTGGGACGCGGAGGGGCTGGGTGGGACCTCTCCCTCTTAGAGGGGTCACCTCTTGTGTGGGGGTCGCTGCTCTCCGGGACTCTGCCTCAGAACTCGGCTGTGACTTGGCCCACGACCCCGGCCCTGCAGACACCGCCGCCGCTGCCAGTAGCCACCCGGATCCCGCGCGGGCACCGCCCAGGCCGAGGAGGAGGGGCCGCTCCGGGGAGGGGGCGGAGTCTGAGGCAGGGCTTGTAGACAGCAGGTGGGCGGAGCTGGAAGCTGCAAGGCGTTCCGGTCCTCAGTTTCCTCAACTGTCAAGTGTTGGATGACAGTAGCACCCAACTCACAAGGTTATGTGAGGGTTCTGATTGGAGGCAATGTTTGTAAAATGCAGCACTTGACGCTAACGGTGGGCTAGATCCATTTGCTAAACGCTCTTAAGTACCCTTGGAATTAAACATCCTTTTATGGATAAAAGGAGCCCTGGTGGTGCGGTGGTTAAGCCTTCAGCTGCTAACCAAAAGGTCATTGGTCAGAAGTTCGAACCCACTAGCAGCTCTGCGGGAGAAAGATGTGGCAGTCTGCTTCTGTAAGATTTGTTGTTGTTTGCCGTCGAGTCAGCCCGACTCATTGTGACCCCTCCTTGGGTTTCCGAGGCAGTATCACTACGGAAGTACGATTGCCCAACTTTCCTTCCGAGGAGTGGCTGGTGGGTTTGAACCGCCAGCCTTCTGGTGAGCACTCAAGTGCCTTAGGCACTATGCTACCAGAGCATTGGAAACCCCATGGGGCAGTTCTATTCTATAGGGTCACTATGAGTTGCAATCAACTCAAAAGCAATGGTTTTGGTTTGGTTTTATGGAAATGGAAACTGAGGTTCAGAGAGGTGCAGTCCTTGCCTGAGGCCACACAGTAGATTTTGCATCCAAGACCAGCTGAGGCCCTAGAGCCATCTTCAAGCTGGCAGAAAAGGGTCTGCAGTTACAATTAGTGCGGGCTCTGCTTGTCCTCAACTCTCAGCCCCACCTTCACCTTTCTGTGCTTCTCTGAGCTCCGGCTGGCTGTCTCATGGGAACAAGAGTAGCTATCACCAAGGGCCACCACGTGGATGAACAGAGAAGGGCATCAGTCAGGAAAAGCTGGGTTATGCTACAGTAACCGGAGACCCGTTTCCATGGCACCCAATAGCGAAGTTTGCTTCTCACCCACACTGGTTGCCATGGTGAAGGGAAAATGTGGCGAGTCATGCATGAGTTCTTAACATTTCTGCCTGGAAGTGATGCCTCTGCCCCCACTTGATTGGCCAAATAAAGTCACATAGCCACCCTCAATGTCAATGGGGTAGGAAACACGATTGTCCCCAGGATCAGAACCAACTCAGTTCAATGAGATGTGTGCAGTGCTTAGCGCCATGTCAGACACACAGCAGGTGGCCAATCAGTGGGCACCATCACAGGAGGGGTTTAGGGGCTCCAGTAGCGATTGCCCCACATCACTGTGCCATGTGAATGGGGATACTGAGGCTCTCAGTTCTATCCCTGCCCCCTGCTTCTCAGGCCAAAAACAACACCAGTCTTTGTTTCCAAGGAAGTCTTTATTGATACACAGGGCCCCCAGCAGGAAAGAGGAGGCAGGGGCTAGAGGCGGCTGAGGTTTAGGGCGAGTCCCACAAGACAGAGCCCATTGCTCAGGAGGCAGCCCAGATTGCAAATGGAGGAGAACCCATGGTAGCGGAAGAAGACCTGGCGGAGGGCACCGTACTTGGGGTCCTGTTCCCGCAGCTGGCGGTAGAGATCAGTGCCCTGGTGGCTGCCCGGTACCTCCCCACCTAGGCCCCGCTCCTTCTCCAGGGTCTGCAGGGCCCACATGGCAGCAGTGGTCCGTGGCTCAAGCCATCGGGCATTGATGGCAGCCAGCGTGAGGCACAGGAGCAGCAGGCAGAGCTGGAGGGAGCAGCGGAAGGGAGACAAGGTGAGCTATGCCGGGGAAGCAGGAGGGGCCCTTCTACACCCTCATAGCCCAGAGGGGGATGGGGTAGAACTGTGTCAAAGTCAGGCCCTTCCTTGGCCCCAGACTGAGGGGTCCCAAAGACAGAGCTCCAGCTCTTGTTCCTTGAAACTGGCAGCCCCTGAGGAAAGGCTTCATCTCTGTCTTTTATTCCCCCATTTGGGCTTTCTCTGTTCTGACCCACAGACTGGAAGTCCCAGAGCAGGGCCTTGTCCGTTCTGTTCTCCAAAACTGAGGACATCTAAGGTCAGAACTTCCCTCCCCAAAACTGGCGCAGAGCACTATAACTGTCCCCTCTGCTCTCCCAAAACAGGAAACCTGAGACAGGGCCCAGCCTAGACCCCAAGAACAGACACCAGGCCCACAGGGAATGAATAAAAAGTCCGTGAGTTTCCAATTACCCATAATTCTCTCCTGTCTCTGTGGGATTATTCTTGAAACACCTGTCAGGCCACACTTGCCCACATCTGAGGAACATAATGGGGGCCAGGGGAGGGCAAGGTGGAGAAACATAAGATATGGACATAGTCCCTAGCCTTGTGGCTGAGGAAATGTATGAATGGGGGTGGGGGCCCCAAAGTCCCAGTCAGGCTGGTTTTTAAACAATGAGCTGCGGTCAGTGCCCCAGCTCAGCTGAGTCACTACAGCTTGGCAGGCGGCCTAGGGGGAGGAGTGTAGCAGCGTCCAGTGAAGAGACACTGGTGGAAAGAAAGACAGGGTTGCTGGGGACAGTTGTGCAGTCTGTGCACTGCTCAAATGTAGCCAGAGCCCAGTTTTGTATTCTTTAGGAAGAAGGGGCACCTTTTTTTTTTTTTTCTTTTTTTGTAAATTTGTGCAGATGTTTCGTCATGGATGCTTACTGGGGTCCGGTAATGGGTCTACTGCATACCTGGCTGGCCTCCCAGAATGTGAGCTGAGCCCAGGAATGCCATGGAGCCAAGATGCAGAGGTTGATGAAGGCACAGCCCATGGAGATGTGAAAGTAGAAAGGGAAGAGCTTGCTCTGCACAAGGCCGAAGGTATGTCGGGGAAGGCCTCGGAAGAGCAGGAAGCCTGCGGGTGCAAGGCGCCACACTCCTGTTAGAAAACCCCCAGACCCCTCTCCCATTCTGTCCCCACCCCAAGTACCCACAACATTCAGGTTGCTTGAGGGTCCCTACCTGCGACGAAGGTCACCCACATCTGCATGCCCCAGGCCCCTGACAACACCAGTAGATGGACCACCTTAGTCAGGCTTCCAGGGTCCCTCCCTTCCTCCATCTTGCAGCCCTAGAGAGGCGGAACAGTGTGGCCTTCAGACTCTGTAAGCCTGTTCAGGTCCAGGGTCATGGCTAATCCAGCAGAGATCCAGAGAAAGTGGCCCACGAATAGGGGTTGAGGGGAAGTCCCAGAGGAGGCCTGCAACAAGCCGGGACTCCACCCCAAGATTTCAGGCTCTCTGGAACCCGAAGTCCATGCCACTTCCAAGACCTGCACAGTGCTGTCCCAGCTCAAACTCGCAGCCCAAGGACTTCAGAAATTACCCTGGTGACCCCCAAATATCACAAGGATCCCAGTTCTAACACCAAAGACCGTGATCCCAAAACAGCACAATGGAATCCCCAAATCACCCCCTCCCCCCCGCTCCGGGAATCCCAATTAATCTTGGGAAAGCGCAAATCTACAGAACCCTAAATCCTGAGAACAACAACCCCACCGCTGGGAACCAGGACCTCAACCCGTAGCACCCAGGAGTCCGACGCCAGAGGCTCCGAGGCCAGATCTCAGGGGGCGGGCGGGCTGGATTTGGTACCTCACTCCCGCGCTCCGCTCCACCTCAGCGGACCGCGGACGTGGTGGGCTACCTCGCTCGGTGGGTTCCCGCAACCAAGAACTCGCCCCGCCTCCCTGCTGAGCCCGAAGCCAACCGAATCATAGATATGCGGCACTCCTGCCCCCCCTTTATCCCGCCCTCTTAGATACTGACTAATCGGTTGGCAGAAATCAGCCCGCGATCCCGCCTCCCAGTCAGGCTCTTATGCAATTACACCTGGGCCCTTAAAAGCTGCGGAAGTGGGAGGGCGTCATTGAGGCCTTCAGCTACATCGGCAGGGGCGGGGCTAAAATGCTGGCCACACCTCTCTCTGTGACTCCCGCTTCAGCCCTGGCACATTTCAATGTGATGGTGTCCCCACAGGATCAAATTTCACCGTCAGAGCTGGGGACTGGTTTCGCGGTCCCTGATGGGAGAGTATGAACAGGTGGTATGTGGTAGGTGGGGGTGGAAGTAGGTTGGGAGCCCGAAGGGCGTGCTGGATTCGCGGCTCTAGGGACGCGGCCCAAGCTAATGACCCCCTCCCCTTCCCCAAAGAATTCTCCCGGGAGGGACTGAGAAACAACAGCTGAATGTGGGAGGGAATTGAAGGGGGGAGAGCACACGACTGGGATGTGCCTGCAGTTGCGCTCAGAAGTGCCTCCCCCCTTTTCCTCTTCTGGTTCCCATTGCCTTCAGGTCACAGGTTCTCAGCTGGCATACAAGGACAAACACAGATTGAGCCCCTACTGTATGCCAGGCACTGGCACGAATTAATTCAGTTAATGATAACAACACAATAAGATGGATACTACAACATTGCATTTTTATAGTTGGGGACACTGAGGCAAAGCTAGAATCTGAAACCAGGCCATCGGCTGGAGTCTCCTTGTTTAACCATTTTGTATACTGCCTCTGGAAGTGAGGGCTTACCTTAGGGAGTGACTCTTGGAAGGGTTGTTTTGTTAGGTGCTGTTGAGTGGGTTCCGACTAATAGCAACTCTATGTACAACAGAACAAACTCGACCTAGTCCTGAGCCATCTGCACAATCGTTGTCACTGTTGAGATCATCCTTGCAACCACTGTGTCAATCCATCCCCTTGGTCTTCTCCTTTTTGGCTGACCCTCTACTTTACCAAGCATGATATCCTTTCCCAGGGATTGATCCTTTCTGACAACACGATCAAAGTATAAGAGATGAAGTCTGGCCATTCTTGCTTCTAAGGAGCATTCCAGCTGTACCTTCTCGAAGACAGATTTGTTCATTCTTCTGGCAGTCCACGGTACATTCGATATTCTTTGCTGACACCATAATTCAAATGTACCGACTCTTCTTTGGTTATTCTTATTCATTGTCCAGCTCTCACATGCATATGAGGCTATTGAAAATACCATGGTTGGGTCAGGCACCCTTTACTCTTCAAAGTGACATCTTTGCTCTCTAGCACTTTAAAGAGGTCTTTTGCAGCAGATTTTCCCAATGTGATACATTGTTTGATTTCACAACCGCTGCTTCCATGGGTATTGATTGTGGATCTAAGTAAAATGAAATCCCTGACAAGTTCAATCTTCTCTCTGTTTATCATAATGCTGCTTATTGGTCCAGTTGTGAGGATTTTTGTTTTCTCTATGTAGAGGTATAATCCATACTGAAGGTTATGGTCTTTGATCTTCATCAGTAAGTGCTTCAAGTCTTCTTTACTTTCAGTAAGCAAGGTTGTGTCGCCTGCATAGCGTTAATGAGTCTACCTCCAATCCTAATGCATTCTTCTTCATAAAGTCCAACTTCTTGGATTATATGTTCAGACACACAGACTGATTAAACATGGTGAAAGAATACAACTCTGACATGTACCTTTCCTTGAAGGGTAGTTGCTGTCAGGTGCTGTCAAGTGAGCTCTGATTCATAGCTACACTATGCACAACAGAACGAAACAGTTGCTGGTCCTGCACTATCCTCACAATCTTTGCTGTGCTTGAGCCCCTCATTGCAGCCACTGTGTCAATCCATCTTGTTGAGGGTCTTCCCCTTTTTTGCTGACCCTCCACCTTACCAAGCATGATATCCTTCTTCACGGAATGGTCCTTTCTGACAGCATGACCAAAGCAGGTGAGACGAAGTCTGGCCATTCTCACTTCCAAGGAGCATTCCAGCCGTACTTCTTCTGGCAGTCCATGGTATTTTCTTCACCAACACCACAATTCAAATGCTTCAATTTTTTTCAGTCTTCCTTATTCATTGTTCAGCTTTCACATGCATATGAGGCTATTGAAAATACCATGGCTTGAGTTAAGTGCACCTTAGTCTTCAAAGTGACATCTTTGCACTTTAACACTTTAAAGAGGTCTTTTGCAACAGTGCAGTATGTCGTCTGATTTCTTGACTGCTGCTTCCATGGGTGTTGATTGTGGATCCAAGTACAATGAAATCCCTGACAACTTCAATCTTTTCTCCATTTATCATGATGTTGCTTATTGGTCCAGTTGTGAGGATTTTTATTTTCTTTATGTTGAGATGTAATCCATACTGAAGGCTATAAGTGCTTCAAGTCATCTTCACTTTCATCAAGCAAGGTTGTGTCATCTGCCTATCTCAGGTGGTTAATGAGTCTTCCTCCAATCCTGATGCCGTGTTCTTCGTACAGTCCCTGACACACACCTTGCCTTGAAGGGTGGCCTAGAACATTTCAGAAAGAAGAACAACTTGTGCATCGTGGGGTGGGTGTGAAGAGTCGGTGAATGCTTAGGGTGGTCCCCGGCACTCAGTAGGTGCTCAGTAAACATGATCTTTAAAATGATTAAAGAAGACCTTTCAGAGGATATGCTGAGTGGATCTCGGAAGGGTGTATAGGAGTCTTTCAAGACCACTGGGCCAAGGAAAAGATACCAGGTGAAGCAGCAGAAGAGAAAGGTCTGGGGGGTTTGGTGAACTGGTTGAGCATGACCCAGGGCAAAGTGCCCTTCACCTGGAAGTTTTTCCAGGCATACCTACTCCAGGTTTTTCCATGTGTGCCAGCCCTGACTACAGTGGACAGGGAGAGGGACAGATGTGAGGCCCAGAGCCAAGTTCTTTTCTGTCCCCAGCCTTGCCCAGCACAGGCCTGGCCCCAAGTCAGCTAACATATATACTCTGCCCCTGCTGCTCACATTCCCTGGCTCTCATTGACCTGCAAGGCCAAGTTTAAACTCCTCAGCTTGGCCTTCAATGCCTTGCTCAAGCTGCCCTGCTCACCCACTGCTGCTTCCTCGACTGTCTCCAGGCATCCTGCATTTACCAGCACGGAGCATGTGGTTCCCCACCTCCAAGCCTTTGCACATGCTGTTTCCTGCCAGGAAAATCCTTCCTTAAAGCCCCATGTTAAGGTCCTTTTTTTGGGGGGGGGCGCGGGGGGAGTGCTCCTAGAGCCCTCACTTCCTTCTGTGGGGTCTCCTAGGTCCTTCTCACTGACCTGGCTGACCCCTAGGGTTGGGATCACTCCTTCCAGCTTCAGCTACAATGACTGAGAGGCCCTGTTTTCAGGGCCGAGGCCTCTCTGGGGTTTCAGGAAGGGTCTGTGCATGCCAATGCATGAGGTCTGGTCTCAGAGCAGCCCTCCATCCTTCTCACAGTGACCCTCTCCTGGCTGGCCTATCCCGGGACTCTGACCACACTGTGACCTGCCACTGCTCATCTCCCTTGCCCTCCATCGTGTGTTTGCCTGCTGACGGGAAGTGTGACAAGTTCTGGGGTTAGTTGAAGGGTGCTCCTGGGGCTCGGAGGGGCTAAGGATATGAGGGTCACTCTGGCCTGGCCCTGAAGGAAGCCCTCACCCCCAGGATCTTCCTCAGACAAGACCTTGGACTGTACGAATCAGTGGTCTAGGACCTCAGATTCGGAGACCTTGGGGCCAGCTGCTTCTGAGAACACAGGGACGTGTGTGGACTGGAGGCCTGGGTGGGGTTTGGGGCTTCGGCCACATGGGGCTCCCTCCTTGCCCAACTCGGACTTGCTGAAGGACAGCTGTAATGAACAGGACCTTCTGAAGAGGCACTGCCACATTTCCAAGGTCACCCCACCCATGGAACCCCTTGCTCCACTACAGTCTGCTGATGTGGGGTTCAGGGAGGGGCTTTGGGAGTGAGGGAGGGAAGCTCACCAAGAACACTCACACTTTATGTCCCCAGGACCTAGAACACTCAGCAGGCCCTCGCTGAAAGGGGCTAAATGAATGGATGAAGGAATGGAGGAAATGAATGAGTAATTGTGCGTTTTGAATGAAATTTGGTCTGCTTGTCTCTGTGTACCACTTTGCCTGGAGGTCAGTGTGGCTGTGATTGTGTGTCTGAGATGTGTGCAGGTAGGTGCTGTGGGTCTTGATGACTTGAGGTTGGAGTGTGTGGCTGCAGCTGAGGTTGTGTGCTCATGACCTCTGTGTTTCAGCGACTTTGTGTGGTTGTATGTTGGGTGCTGTTGGTTCCCCTTGCGGATGATGCTGTGTTGTTTGCTCCTAAGAAGGAGGGTCATTACCTGAGCCCAGGCCAACGACAGGGCTGGCATTGGGCCAGAGCCCAAGCTCAAAGTCCACAGACCTGCATGCATCACGTCTGGGACAAGACACACAGGTGCACTTGTGAGTTCAGGCAGGCCAGTGGAGGTGTGCTCATGTGCCTAGAGGCAGCTTCGCCTGTACTCATGGTTGGGACACCCAGAACCCAGCAGACCCAGCTTTGTCCAACCACCCAGACTGGGATGGGGTGAGCAGGGAGGGAGATCAGGGACAAATACCACTCCCTGCTTGTCTCCCTCCCCTAGACATCCTTGGATACCAAGAGTTTCAAGGTCAAAGGTGAGAACCCTCCCTGCCAACAGGCTGTGTGAGGAAAGACTAACCCTGTTCCTACCCCCACCCTCTGCCCAGTACAAACACTGAGGCCTACTCACCCTGCCCCAGCCTCTGCTGCCTTGCTCCTGACCTTGATCTCTATTTCCCACCTCCACCTCAAGGGAACCCTGCTCCTTACCTTGCCCCTGCTGGTACCCTGAGCCTCAGTTGACCTCTGCCCTTGCCCCGCCTACACCCTTCCCAGCCTCAGCTGACTCTTAACTCTGCCCATAGCCAAGTCCAACACAATGACACCCGAAGCCCAGAAGCAACTGCGATCCGAACTGGAGTCACTCAAGAGCCAGCTACAGGCTCAGACCAAGGTAAGCTGCCTTGACACCGCCCCCAGCAACCACTGCGCCACTGGTGTCCTCCCATCCCCAACTTCCAGCCCAAGCCGGACCTCTTTCCCCCCAGGCTTTCGAGTTCCTGAACCACTCGGTGACCATGTTGGAGAAGGAAAGCTGCCTACAGCAAATCAAGATCCAACAGCTTGAAGGTAAGGACAGGCTAGGGGTCAAGGTCAGGCTGGAGGCCTGGTCCTATTAGAGTCAGCCAAGGTCAGGCCACGGTGAGAGAAGTTGAGGCAGCCTGGGTTCAGGGTTGGGGTCAGACCAGGGTTAAGGGGAGCTGGGTTCAAAGCTAAGATCAGGCTGAGCACAGGGTGAGGTCAGGGTTCTGTCAAGGTCCTCTATGCCCATAGAGGTGCTGAGCCCTGCGGGCTGCCAGGCACAAAAGGAGCTGAACAAATGGGACCTGGAGCAGGGCCGGCAGGAGCTATATGGCGCCCTGGCCCAAGGCCTGCAGGGACTGCAGAAGACCCTGAAAGACAATGAGGAGGTGCAGCAGGCCCGGACCAACCGCTGCCTGCAACTGCTGGCCCAGGAGATCCAGAACAGGTGAGTGTGGGTGGGAGGACAGCCTGGAGGTGGAAGGAGGGAAGGGAGGAGGCATCGCAGGCAAGATGGGGAAATGGGGGACCCCCATCTTGCCCTTGCCCCTGCCTGCACCCTTCCCAGCCTTCCCAGGGGACACTGGGGTCCATGGAAAGAGACAGGAGGAGTGGATTGGGGCTTGGAAGAGACAGGAAGCTAGGGTGAAGAGGCAATGGGGAGACCAGGAGACAGGGGATATGGGAAGTTGGCAGACAGAAGTGGGAGGCCAAGCAATGGGAGGCTGAGGGAGTGGAATGTGCTGAGGGAATGGGAGGCTGGAAGTCAGGAGGAGAGGATGGGGAGGGGGGGAGGGTAGTAGTAACCAGAGGAGAAAGGTAGACTGAAACATGGGGAAGGGACAAAGGCTAGGGTGGATGGCTCTTTGGACACATGGGAGCTGGGGCCTGGGATGCCAGGGGCTGGGAAGGGAGTGCAGGTTGACAATACACTGTCCCTTCAGTAAGAAGTTCCTGTGGGAAGAGCTGGAGCTGGTACGAGAGGAAGTGATCTTAATCTACCAGAAGCTCCGTGAGTGCCTGGAGCCCCCATCCAGGAGGGGTGGTCCTTCTGCAACCCCAGTCCCCCTGAGTCCCTTTCCCCCTACAGAGACTCAGGAGGAGGAGATCACAGAGAACCTGGCGAACATCAAGAAGATGCAGAAGATGCAGGTGAAGTGTCGTAAGGTGAGGCCTTCACCATCAGACTAGAGCCAGGAGGCCTAAGTACCAGTTCTAGTTCTGTCGCTTACTGTTCACTTACCTTATGCAACTCATTTCCTCTCTGGGCCTCAGTTTCTTCAACTATGTAATGAGTACAATAATGACATATCCCTGCCTGATCGCTAATCACTCAGTTAATTATTGTTTTTCAGTGCCATCAAGTCAGTTCTAGCTCATAGTGACCCTGTGTACAACAGAACGAAGTACTGCCTGGTCCTGTGCTATCCTCACAAACATTGCTATGTCTGAGCCCATTGTTACAGTCACTGTCAATCCTTGAGGGTCTTCCTGTTTTTCATGGATCCTCTGCTGATGTCCTTCTCTGGGGACAGGTCCCTCCTGATAACATGTCCAAAGTACATGACACAAAAGTCTCACCCATCCTTGTTTCTAAGGAGCATTCTAGCTGTACTTCTTCCAAAATGGATTTGTTCGATCTTCTGGCAGTCTGTGGTACAGTCAATATTCTTCACCAACACCATAACTCAAACGCATCAATTCATTCTCCATTTTCCTTATTTCTTGTCTAGCTTTTGCATGCATATGAGGTGATTGAAAATACCATGGCTTGGGCCAGGCATACCTTAGTCCTCAAGGTGACAGTTTGCTTTTTAATACTTTAAAGAGGCCATTGCAGAAAATTTACCCAGTGCAATGCATTGTTTAATTTCTTGACTGCTGCTTCCACAGTCGTTAATGATGGATCCAAGTAAAATGAAATCCTTAACAACTTCAGTCTTTTCTCTGTTTATCATGATGTCCCACCCCTTACCTGTCAGTTTGTTGTACTGTGGTGGCTTTCCTGTTGCTGTGATGGGGAAGTTATACCACAAATATTTAAAGTACCAGGAGGGTTCCCCATGATGGACAGGTTTCAGCAGAGCTTCTGTGAGGGACAGAGTAGGAAGAAGGACGTGGCAATCTACTGCTGAAAAAAAAAATGGCCAATGACAACCTTATGAATAGCAGTGGAACATGGTTTGATATTTTGCCAGAAGATGAGCCCCTCAGGTTGGAAGGCACTCAAATTATGACTGGGGAAGAGCTGCCACCTCAAAGTATAGTTGACCTTAATGGCATGGATGGAGTAAAGCTTTCAGGACCTTCAATTGCTGATGTGGCATGACTCAAAATTAGGAGAAACAGCTCCAAATATCCATTAATAATCAGAATGTGGAATCTAAGAAAATGGGAAGTTGTCAAAAATGAAATGGAATACATAAAGATTGATATCCTATGCATCAGTGAACTGAAATGCACTGGTATTGATCATTTTGAATGAACAGTCACATGGTCTTCTATGACAGAAATGACAAATGGAAGAGGAATGGCGTCACATTCATTGTCAAAAAGAACATTTCATTATCTATCCTGCAGTACAATGCTATCAGTAATAGGATAATATCCATACACATACCAATTAATACTACTCTTATTCAAATTTACACACCAACCACTAATGCCAAGAAAAGAAGAAATTGAACATTTTTGCCAACTTGTATAGTCTGAAGTTGATCAAACATGCATGCAATCAAGATACATTGATAATATATGTGATTAGAACACAAAGGTTGGACACAAAGAAGGACCAGTAGTTGGAAAACATAGTCTTCCTGATAGAAAGAAGGCAGACATAGCATTATAGAATTTTGCAAAACTTATTCATTGCAAATACCTTTTTTCAACAACTAGAAGCATGGACCTCACCAGGTGGCATACACAGGAATCAAATCGACTCTATCTGTGGGAAGAGATGATGGAGAAGCTCAATATCACCAGTCAGAACAAGGCCAGGGGCTGACTGCAGAACACATCAATTGCTCCAACACAAGTTTAAGTTGAAACTGAAGAAAATTAAAATAAATCTATGAGAGCCAAGTACAACTTTGAAAATTTCCCACCTGAATTTAGAGACCATCTGAAGAACAAAGTTAACACATTGAACACTAATGACTGAAGACCAGACGAGATGTGGGATGACATCAAGGACATAATACACAAGAAAAGCAAAACATCATTAAAATGATAGGAAAGAAAAAAAAGACCAAAATGAATGTCTGGAGAGACTCCAAAACTTACTCTTTTTTTTTTTTTAACTTTTTTTTTTTTTTTTTAATTAGGATTTGGGTGAAGATTTACAGAGTAAATTCACTTTTCATACAGAAGTTCACATATACTTTGTCTCATGTCATTGACCAAAATTTACAATGCAGCAGCTCCCCTCCCACTTCCTCCCCATAGTCACCTCCTCCCAGTGTCCATCCCTTCATACTCTTCTGCACCCTGAGCTATCTCCCTGTGCATAAGCAGCCCTTCCTTCTCCCATGATTGTTCTCTCCAGGGCATGTGTCTACTTGAGGTAAATGTTTAACTCACATGCCTGTACTTTGTTTGGTTGGAAACCAAAGTTGTGGGTTCAATTCCAGACCTGAAGGGCAGCTAGGGGCCATAGTCTCAGTGGTTACACCAGGCTCTATTGGACCAGCAAACCTGGTCCCCACCTTTTTTTTTTTTTTTTTGTCTCCAAATGATTTTGAGCAAAACTTACTCTTGAATGGAGAGTAGCTAAAGTGAATGGAAGATATGATGAAGTAAAAGAGCTGAACAGAAGATTTCAAAGGGCAGCTCAAGAAAAGAAACTAAATTATTACAATGAAATGTGCAAAGGCCTGGAATTAGAAAACCAAAAGGGAAGAACATGCTTGACATTTCTCAAGCTAAAAGAACGGAAGAAAAAATTCAAGGTTCAACTTGCAATATTGAAGGATTCTATGGGTAAAATATTGAACAATGCAGGAAGCATCAAAAGAAGATGGAAGGAACACACAGAGTCAAATGGTTGACATTCAACCATTTCAGGCGGTAGCATATGAAGAAGAACCAATGGTATTGAAGGAAGAAGTCCAAGCTGCCCTGAAGGAGTTGGCAAAAAACAAGGCTCTGGGATGTGGCAAAATACCGATTGAGATATTTCAACAAATGGGTGCAACACTGGAGACACTCACTTGTCTATACCAAGAGATTTGGAAGACAGCTATCTAGCCAACCAAAGGAAAGAGATCCATATCTGTGCCCATTCCAAAGAAAGGTGATCCAATGGAATGCAGAAATTATTGAACAATATAATTAATATCACACACAAGTAAAATTAGGCTGAAGAGAATTCAAAAACAGTTGCAGCAGTACATTGACAGGGGACTGCCAAAAATTCAAGCCAGATTCAGAAGAGAATGTGGAACAAGGAATAGAATCGTTAATGTCAGATGGATCTTGGCTGAGAGCAGAGAATACCAGAAAGACGTTTATGTATGTTTTATTGACTATGCAAACGTGTTGGATTTTGTGGCTCATGATTAATTTTGGATAACATTGCAAAGATGAGAATTCCAGAGCACTTAATTGTGCTCCTGCAGAACCTGTGCATAGAACAAGAGTAGTCATTCAGACAGAACACGGGGATACTGCATGGTTTAAAATCAGGAAAGGTGTGCGCCAGGGATGTATCCTTTCACCATACTTATTCAAACTATCTGCTGAGCAAATACTCTGAGAAGTTGGACTGTATGAAGAAGCACATGGCATCAGGATTGGAGGAAGAGTCATTAACAACCTGTGATATGTCAAAACACAACCTTGTTACTGAAAGTGAAGAAGACTGGAAGCACTTACTGATAAGGATCAAAGCTTTAAGTATGAATTATTCCTTAACATAAAGAAATCAAAAAGTTTTCACAACTGGACCAATAGGCAATATCATGATAAATAGAGAAAAGATGGAAGTTGTCATGGATTTCATTTTACTTATATTCTAAATCAATGCCCATGGAAGCTGCAGTTAAGGAATCAAATGATGTATTGCATTTAATACTTTAAAAAGTATTAAAAAGCAGAGGTGTTGCTTTGAGGATTTCTGACCGAAGCCATGGTATTTTCAATTGTCTCATGTGAATGTGAAAGCTGGTTAATGGATAAGGAAAACCGCAGAAGAATTGATACCTTTGCATCATGGTGTTGGTGAAGAATATTAAATATACTATGGACTGCCAGAAGAATGAACAAATCTATCTTGGAGGAAGTACAGCCAGAATTGCTCCTTATAGGTAAGGATGGTGAGACAATTTCTGGCTTACTTTGGGCATATTATCAGGAGGGACCAGTCCCTGGAGAAGGACATTATATTTGTTAAAGTAGAGGGTCAGTGAAAAGGAAAAGACCCTAAATGATAGGGATTAACACAGTGGGTACAACAATGAGCTCAAACATAGCATAGAAGTGTTGTTGAACATATGGTCACTATGAGTCAGAACCCACTGTTGTTGTTGTTGTTATGTGCTGTCGAGTTGGACCTGACTCATAGCGACCTCTCCTTGGGTTTCCAAGGCGGTATCACCTGAAAGTAGATTGCCCCATCTTCCTTCCGAGGAGTGGCTTGTGGGTTTGAACAGCCAGCCCTCTGATTAGCAGTCAGGTGCCTTAGGCACGATGCTACCAGGGCTCCCCAGAACCCACTAGACAGCTCCTAACAACATCATGATGTTGTTTATTGGTCCAGTTGTGAGAATTTTTGTTTCCTTTCTGTTGAAGTGTGATCCATACTGAAGTGTATTGTCTTTGATCTTCATCAGTAAGTGCTTCAAGTCCTCTTTACTTTCAGCAAGCTAGGTTCTAGGTTCTGCCATCCACATATCACAGGTTGTGAATAAATCTTCCTCCAGTCTTTGGGGAAAGAAAGACCTGAAAATCTGCTTCCGTGAAGATGAGTCTTTGAAACCTTAGAGGGCAGTTCCATTCTGGCCTATAGGGTTACTGTGATGTGATCAACTTGATGGCAATGGGTTAACCTTTCACCATCATTAGTATTGGTGTTTTTATCCTCCGGCCCCAGGTTCTGACCAAGATGAAGCAACAGGGGCTTGAGGCCTGCATGGAATCTGAAGGGACGCCCAGAGGCAGCAGCTCCTGGAAGGATGACCTCCACAAGGAGCTGAGTGACATATGGTGATGCCCAGCCCCCATGTTGATCTGTGACCTCAACTGAGCCACTTCCCAACGGGATCAAGCAGGGACCCTTAGAACCCGGAGCCCTGAGTCCAGACCTCCTTCTCCCCCTAGGACCACCTCGGTCCTTGTCCCCACCACGGCCCCTCCTGTGGGGCCCCTAGCTCCTCCTCTCCCCACAGGTCTGCTGTGCACTTGCTGCAGAACTCCATCGATAGCTTCACCATGTCCTCCGGGGGCCACCATAAGTCTGCAAGCCTCAGGGGTGAGGGTCTCATTCACACATGGTGGTCAGTTTCAGAGGTCATATTTGAGGGGCACATTTGGAGGCTCTTATTCTGTAGTCACATTAAGTAATGTTCTGGGGTAGTATTAAGGAGTCACTGGAAGTCTGGTGGTGTAATGGTTAAAGCATTTGGCTCCTAACCAAAAGGTCATCAGTTCGAAACCATCAGCCACTCCTCGGGAGAAAGATTAGAGAGTCTGCTTCCATAAAGATTTACAGTCTTAGAAACCCTATGGGGTAATTCTTCTCAGTCCTAAAGGGTTGCAGTGAGTCAAAGTTGATTCCATGGCAGTGGGTTTGGTGGAGGTTTCCTCCAGGGGTCACATTCAGGATCACTGGGATCATTTTTAAGGCTTTGTTGTTGTTATATACCTAGTCAGACCCGACTCATAGTGACCTCTCCTTGGGTTTCCAAAGCCATATCACTATGGAAGTAGATTGCCCCATCTTCCTTCCAAGAAGTGGCTGGTGGATTTGAACCGCCAGCCTTCTGGTTAGCAGTCAAGTACCTTAGGCACTATGCTACCAGATCAAGGGTCATTGAGGTCATAATTTGGTGTCATGTCAGGTCACATTCAAGGTCTATGGGCATGATATCAAGGATCTCTAAGGTGTAATATCAAAGGACACTGAGCTCCTTTTCAGAGGGTCCTCGAGGGTCACATTCAGGGTTTGTGGATGAAGGTCCCAAATCTCACATGTCCCTACTGCAGGCCACAAGGGACACCCATGCTTGAGCCCGCCACCCCCCTCCTGGGACTCAGACTCTGACTTGGAACAGGACCCCTGCCAGACTTCTATGAACAAGAGCTGCTCCTTCCCCTCAGGTACAGATCCTTCCTGGCCCCACCCCACCCAAACCCGCTCCTGGTTTGCCCGGGAATCCCACAGGATGGACCCTCAGGACTGTCCCAGCTCTGGTCCCTGACCCCCGACCCTGGAATCCCCTGTAGAAGGGAGGTCCCTGACGCACCTCCTCTTTCCACAGCCTGAGCAGCGGGGTCTGCTCCCCAAGACAGCCCTTCCAGAGAGAAAATAAACTAGCTGAGACCCTCCTCCACCCCTGGACTGTTTCTTCTGCTGCTTCCAGCACCTGGGCCCTACCATCACCCCCTTCATTTACTCTCTAGTGCTGGGGAGGGTGCAAAGATGCCAGGGAGTGTGCAGGATGTGTGGGCCTTGAGTCAGGGGATAGTGTGGAGCAGAATTAACATATGACCCTGGCCAGAAGTCAGTCTGTCCAGATGTGAGGGGCCAGACACACTGCCCCAACTGTTCACCAGACAGCTCTTTCACATTGGCACCTAAAGTTCCTCTCTGGTGAGCCTTGGTGAACTGGGCCGCTTTCTCCACGGCCTACGTGGGAAAACGGAGACCCAGAAAGGGTGGGCACAGCTCTGAAACCCTGCACTCCTTCCAGTAGGCTTCGCCCAGAGTCCTCATCCCTCCTCCCAGCTCTATTCTAATAAGATCCTTTCTCAAGAGCACCTGAGGCCCCGCCCCGGATCACGCTAATGAGACGTCGCATATCCCCGCCCCACATGGTTATGCAAATGAGTCCCATGAGGCCCCGCCCCTCCGCCAAGGCTCAGGCGCGGAGTCTGCGCTGCGCGGAACGGCCGGACCCGGTCCGCGGCGTCTCTGTCTCTTCGTCCTCTCACCGGGCCAGCCGTCGGTCTGTCCGTCCGGCAGTGCCGGGTCGTTTGGGTGGAGCGGAAGCTCAGGCGGCGGCTACCTCGATCTGGTGAGGGGAAGGGGCTTAGGGAGCCCCTTGCATCCCCTCCCGCGGGCTTCTGATCCTCGGTCTATCTGTCCATCTGGGGCCTCGGTTCCTGCGGGTCGCATCCCTCCGGGTCCAGCGTGGGGAGCGTAAGGGGAGGCGGCGAGCTGGTGCTCCGGTACTGGGCTGGGGGAGGGGATCCCCGGCGACGGTGGTGAGGGTGGCTGTGGATGACTATGGTTGTCATTTTGTGTCAATGTGTGATTGTATAACGGTCATTGTGTGGCTGTATAACTGTCTTTGTGTGGCTGTATGACTATGAGTGTGTGCGGCTATGTCTCCTGGGGCTGTCACTGTGTAGTCGTGGTGGGTATCACTCTGGTGGGGGGTTTGTGGCTGTGATGTTGTGGCTGCCATTGAGTGGCCGTATGACTGTGTGGCTGTCTTTGGTGTCTGTATGGCTGTGTGCATATGACTGCCATTTGTGGCTGTGTATTTGCCTGATGGTGTGTGTGTGTCTGTGAACTTGCACCTTTCTGGTGTGGTCGTGTGGCTCTGTGTATGAATCTGTGTCATGGTCCATATATGTGCCCTTGTGAGGCCATGTGGCTGTGGTTGTGTGTGGCACCATTTCTCTTCTATGCCAGTGTGCATAAGAGACCATTAACGTGTGTGCTGTCATTAAGTGCCTTGTGATTGGGCGAGTGACACCGTGACTGGTCTGTGACCCCTGTTGTGTGTGAGGTGTGGCTCTTGCTGTGATTCTCAAGTGTGTTGGCAGCCCTGAGGCTAAGCCCCTCACCCTGGTGCATTGAAGGCTTGTGTGGGCTGTATGTAGGGCTGTGAAGTGTGTGGAGGGCTTCCTGGTGTGTCCCTGTGACTATGTATGTGGGTGTCTGTGACAAGCCGTATGCACGCCGGGTGTGTGTGTGTGTGTGTGTGTTGTATGTGTGAGCAGTTACGTGTTGTGGGTGTTGGGCACCTGTCTGAATGAGTGAGCAGGCCTGTCTTGTTCACCACATGGCTGGCACCCAGCACAGCCCTTGGAACCCAGCAGGCTCTCTGTCTGAATAGTGGAACGAATGAATGCTGTGCACTCTGAAGTGTGTGCGTGCATGTGTGTGTGTGTGTGTCTGTGGTATTTGGGACGGATGCTCTGGGGCTGCTGCCATGGGTAATTGTGTCCATGGGAGGGTGAGGGGCCAGGAGGGTATCTGTCCCTTCTGATGACTCTCACTCCACATGTCACACTGTACAGCCAGCTGTGTGGATGGGGCACTGGACCCAGAGCTCCTACCCTCGCCTGCCTGGGCCTGAGTTTCTGCAACCGTGCAATGGGGGTGACCATCATCCCTGCCCTGCTGGCCGCTAGGGGCGGCTGTGAGTCTGTGGGCGTGGCGGCGGCCTGTGGGAAGCCGTAGGGCGCTTTCACAGGTGAGGTCTGGCTGGAAGAATGGGTGTAGCCAGTGTGATTGGAGCGTTGGGAACGCAGGTTAGGCTAGGGGGAAGGGGAGAACAAGGCTAGCCCCCGCAAGACTCTGGGAGGCAGACGGGGCTGGGAGGAGGGGTGGGAGGGAGAGAGGGAGAGGCAGCTGGGAAAGAACGAGGTCCTGGCCATCAGCCCGCATCAGACACACACAGATGGGGGAGGGAGGAGAGAGTGGCCCCTGTGGATGTCATGGGTCGGGTGAGTGGCCGGGGGGAGGGTGCGGCGGGGAGGATGGCATGGAGCAGGGATCTCCTGTAAAGTACGTGGGGGAAGAGTATGGGGTCCCCTAAAAGCTAGGGTGTTGGGAGGCCTTTCTAAATGCCCTGGGGGAGCAGTTCTCATAAAGCTAAGGAGTCCCTTCTTAAGGCCAAGGAAAGGGTCCAAATTGAGGGTAGTGGGGGAGAGTCTCTCCTAAAAGGCGTGGGATCCGAATCTTTTAAGTGGACTGTCGAGAGGAGGGACCACTGCTATATCTCTGAGGTCCGGGACCAGGGCAAAGCCGGCTATCAAGTGAGGTAGATGTCTCCAATGGGCAGGGGCAGGGGCCAACGGGGGCGGGACTAGCTATACAGAGGCGTGGCCATACAGCGCTGGAGGCGGAGTCAGACTCGGGGGAGGGGCCAGGATCTCGGTGACCCTGCCCCGCGGCCTGCGCGGGCGGTCCCACCCCTTCCCTCCTCTGCAGGCCGGGCCTTCATCATGGCGGGAGGGAGACCCCAGCTGAAGAGGAGTTTCTCCATCATTCCCTGCTTTGTCTTCGTGGAGGTGAGGACAGTATTCCTCACCCAGAAACCCTCCGCAACCCTCCTGAGGGGTGCCCCTGCCTTCCTGTCTCTGCCTCTGTTACGTCTCTCCTTAACCTCCGTGTCCATCAGCCTTGCCAGGTCACCGCCTGTACCCATTTTCCCATCTCCCTGGCGTCAGTCCCCTTTCTCCCTGATCTCTCACTCCTTGTCTCTATAGCTGTACTTTCTCTTAAGAGGTGGTGATGAGCGTGGACTTGGACGTTGCAGAGTGAGTTCCAGGACCACTCTGCCCTGTCCTTACTGAGGGGCTCTGAGTCCCTCTCATACCCTCCCTCCTGAGCTTCAGTTTCATCATCTGTAAGATGGGCATCATTAGAATCCCTCTCTCCTAGGGCTGTCATAAGGTTAAAATGGACTAATTCATGAAAAATGTTTAGTATGATGCCCAGCCCACAGTAAAGGTTATACCTGTGGTGGTGCGATTACTACTACTAATATTACTATTTTTTTCCCTGTTGCTCTGTCCCTCCACTACCCAACCCATCATCTCGCTCTCCCTCTGGTCTGAACCCAGACCACACTCCCTCCCTCATCCTATCTCCTCTCTCTCTTTCTTCCTCTGTCCATCTCTTTTTGTTTCTCCCAGGCCCTGACTCTTCTTTCTTCCTCCTCGCCATCTCTCTCTGCCCCTATTAGTCTATGCCTTTTTTGCTACCTCAGTCTTGATATGTCTCTCTCCCTTGTCTCTGTCCCCATCTCTCTTCTCTCTGCATCTCTGTGTCTCCATTTCACCTGCCTCAGCTCAGGCCCTGACCCTGTCTCTTCTCTCCCTGTGTCTCTCTGCTCTGCCGACAGTCGGTGCTGCTGGGCGTCGTGGTCCTGCTTGCTTACCGCCTGGAGTTCACGGACACCTTCCCCGTGCACACCCAGGGGTTCTTCTGCTATGACAGTACATATGCTAAGCCCTACCCAGGCCCTGAGGCTGCCAGCCGTGCACCCCCTGCCCTTATCTACGCCTTGGTCACCGCTGGGCCCACCCTCACGGTGAGACCTTGGGGTGGCCTTGGTCAGGCTTCGGGAAGGACCTCACAGGAGGCAGGAGGTGAAAGGCACGAGAGGGCCAGGAAAAGTCTGCCTTGGTCTTGCCCACAGATTCTGCTGGGGGAGTTGGCACGTGCCTTTTTCCCTGCACCACCCTCCGCCATCCCCATCATTGGAGAGAGCACCATTGTGTCTGGGGCCTGTTGCCGCTTCAGTCCCCCACTGCGGAGGCTTGTCCGCTTCCTGGGTGAGTGGTGTGGCCAGGGGTCGGTCCTGTAGTAATGAGGGGGAGCAGAGACAGAGGGTTGAGGGCCCAGCTTAGTCATTATTATTCCAGGGGAAAGAGGGTTTAGGATTACCATCATGGGGACTTCAGGGCCAGGGAGGGAACTGGGCTCAGGCTGGACATAATGGAGGTTCCAGGGGCATGAGCAGGGCCTAGTCCAGCCAGGTGGGCAGCTGTAGGAGGAGGGTCCGAAAATGTTACAAGGGGAGTGTTAGGCAGAAAAGGGGGCAGAGGCTCAGGCCAACACAGTGGGGTCTCAGCTATAATGGGTGACCATGGAGTAGAGGGCTAGAGAACCAATTGAGACTTCCTGGTGGTCCCGGGGGAGAATGTGATCAGCCAGACATGCCACTGGGGTGGTCCTAGGATCTAGGACACAGGCCTAACCCTGATGCAGTGTGTTGGCTGTCCAAGGGAGGGCTCACTCCCTACATAGTGAAGCTCTCAGAGAGACAGAGGTCTCAAGGGAAGGGGGACCTTGGCCCAGCTATAACAGGGAACAACGTTGGGGGGTTGTCTCAGCTGTGCTTTAACAGTGGTCACAGAAATAGGGAGACCAGTGGCCCAGTGAACGGTAAGGGAGCGCTCAGGAAGAGATCTTTGGGATGGGGGGGCGGGGCACAGGCGTGAAGTTCCTCTTCCCCCCAGGGGTCTACGCCTTCGGCCTCTTCACCACCACCATCTTCGCCAACGCGGGGCAAGTGGTGACCGGCAACCCCACGCCGCATTTTCTGTCGGTCTGCCGTCCCAACTACACGGCTCTGGGCTGCCTGCCGCCCTCGCCTGACCGGCCAGGGCCCGACCGCTTCGTCACGGACCAGGGTGCTTGCGCCGGCAGCCCCAGCCTCGTGGCCGCCGCGCGCCGAGCCTTCCCCTGCAAGGACGCGGCCCTCTGCGCCTACGCAGTCACCTACACCGCGGTGAGTCTCAGGTGCTGCGAGCTCAGAAAGAGGGCCCAGTGGACTGCTGCACTGAGATGCTGCTGGGGCCGAGCCTCTGAGTCCTACCGCGAGGGAGGCCACGCCCCGGGGCTGTGACACCACCCCCAGGGCGGAGCCTGCCTCCCTTGTATATTCTGACTCCTCCCCTCGGATCCTGGCCACACCCCCGAGCCTGAGTCTGTGGCTGAATTCCTGGTTGTGTGTTCCTCTACGTTTGGCCACGTCCCTCACCCAGTAATGCCATGCCCAAGAGAGGTCTTGTGGGATCAGGACACGTCCCTGGAGAGACGTTTTGTACCTCCTGGAGCCTAACTGTGCCCCCACGATGCTACAGGTCTTAGATATTGGCTGGGAGATTGATTGGGCCGGTGAGCCTGTGAGGCTGCCCCCCCTGGAGCTCCTGCCTCTCCCCTGAAGGCCTTGACCTTGCCCTTTGTTGTGCTGGCCACGCCCTTGACTCTTAACAGTGTTAGGACTTTCTGATTCTGTCCTGTTGCCCTTGTTGCACAGGGCCCCTGTTCCTATGACTCTTTTCTGTTGTCCGGGTGCTCCTAGCGCTATCAGTAGTCCACTGGAGTTTGGTGACCCCACCTCCTGCAGCTCCTAGACCTGTCCCCCTTTGTCCCTGATTCAACCTTCTGGTGTCTGTAGCCACATCCTAACTCATCAAGTGTCTTTCCTCATCTGTGACTGCATCCCCCGGAAACACTCCCCTGAATTTTATCTCCTGTGGCTCCTTTTGCTAGAGCCCCTGACATGCCATCTAGCCCCATGACAACATTTGGGACTCTGGTCACGCAGCCACGTTCCCTAGCCCAGAAGGAGGTGTCCACTTGAGTGTGGTTACTGCGCCTCCAAGAACATGAGTCCCCTGACCTGTCCCCAACCCACAGATGTACGTGACTCTCGTGTTCCGAGTGAAGGGCTCCCGCCTGGTGAAGCCCTCTCTCTGCCTGGCCCTGCTGTGCCCCGCCTTCCTGGTGGGCGTGGTCCGTGTGGCTGAGTACCGAAACCACTGGTCCGATGTGCTGGCGGGCTTCCTGACTGGAGCAGCCATTGCCACCTTCCTGGTGAGTCCCCTTCTTCCTCCCCCTAGCCTGGGAGCCCCCATCAGCCCCCTGACCCAAGAGGCAGGATCTTATAATGGTTAAGGATGTGGACTCTGAGTGACCTTAGGCGAGTCCCTTAACTTGACTGTGCCTGCATGTTCTCATTTGTGAAATGGGATGACAGAATGGGACCAGGATGAGGCAAATGAGGCACGCACCTTCAGGGTGAAAATACTCGGTAATCAAGATCAATAGTAGTTTAACAAAGTAATTTCGTGTGTGAAAATTAATGCCAGGCATCACTGTGGACAAAATATCAAACTTTTAAATAAAGATGGGATCTGATCCTGCCCTTGCATAACTTGGTCTCACTCATCTCATCCTAGTTCTGGCCCTGTGGGGAAATTATAGTACCTACCTCTGGTGGCATAGACCCTAAGGCATTTGACTGCTAACCAGAAGGCTGATGGTTCAAACCCACCAGCCATTCCTCAGAAGGAAGATTGGGCAGTCTACTTCCATAGAGACACTGTTTTGGAAACCCAAGGAGGGGTCACTGTAAGTAGGAAACGACTCCACAGCAGTGAGTTGTTTTGTTTTTTTTAACCTCTCAGTAAGGTGGAAAGAGCAGCCCTGGCCCATAATAAAAAGAAAAAAAAAAAAAAAAAACCTCACTGCTGTTGAGTCAGATCTGACTCATAGCAACCCCTCCTTGGGTTTCTGAAGCACTATCACTACAGAAGTAGATTGCCCAACCTTCCTTCCTGATTTGTGGCTGGTGAGTTTGAACCGCTAGCCTTCTGGTTAGCAGTCAAATGCCTTAGGCACTGTGCTACCAGAGCTCCCAGCCCATAGTAAGTGCCATAAAAATGTTAGCTATTTTTCATAAACCCAAGCCTCAGTTTTCTTATCTGAAAAATGGGGAGTTTTTTTTTTCCTACTTTTATTGTGGTGAAAACATACACAACAAGACATTCACCAACATAACTTCCACATTTACAGCTCAGGGACATTGATGACATTTTTCATGTTTTGCCAACATCATTGCTATCCTTTTCTAAAATAGTCTACCACCATTAGCATAAACTCAATGCAAAATGGGGATCGTATTTACATAACTCCTACCTGATTGGCCTTAGTCCTGACACAGAGCTCTCTCCCTCCGTCTGCCCCAGGTCACCTGCGTTGTGCACAACTTCCAGAGTCGGCTGCCCTCTGGCCGAAGGCTCTCCCCTTGGGAGGACCTGGGCCAAGCCCCCACCATGGACAACCCCCTCGAAAAGTTAAGTGTAGCCCAGGTAAGGGGAGCCGGGGACTGCTCCGGCTGGAGAGGGTGGTGGGTGGAGGAAGGCCATGGATGCAGAAGTGGGGCAAGAGGTGGGCATCTCAGAGCAGAGCCATGGGGAGGTGGAGGAATCGCTGGTTTCTGTGGTCATGAGCCTTGCAACTAGAAGGTTACACCCCGTCTCTCCTGAAGAGACATATCCTGAGAACTCTGATTGTATCTTCCATGGGGCTCTGCACCCGCTAAGCCCCTTGTGCCCTGGCCGGCAGGGCCCAGAGGGCCCACTAGCCTCTTCCTTCTGCCTCTTTGTCTCAGGAACCCGAGGCCTGCAGGCCGCATTCGACACCGGCACGGCTCACCCCATCCAGTAAGTGTGGGGGGAGTGGGAGGATAAAGGGAGGTGGTCTTCCAGATGGGCTGTCACTGCCACAGAGGTCTCTCCCATGCCCTCGTGGCCCCCTGCAAGCTTTCTGGACCCCCTGACCTTTAACTCCTGACCCCCCAGAGCCGCAGAACTGCACCCGCCGTGGCCACCTGATTCCCAGCTGCGTGTCCTCCAGGGCCCCAGCCATGTGTTCTTCACCCCGTGTTCCCCGCCCTCGATTGAGATCTGAGCCGACGCCCCTGCCACTGCCCCTACCCCTGCCAGCACCAACCCCCAGCCAGGGCCCCTCACCCTCCTCCCCCGGGCCTGGGGGGCCAGGCGGGGGTGGTGGACGTGGCCGGAAGCTGCTGCTACCCACACCCCTCCTGCGGGACCTGTACACCCTCAGTGGACTCTATTCCTCCCCTTTTCACCGGGACAACTTCAGCCCTTACCTCTTTGCAAGCCGTGACCACCTGCTGTGAAGCCCACCCACCCACCCACCAGAATCTGCCCAGCCCCCATCTCTTCCCTGCCATGAGTTCCTGTGCCTGTGTATGCCCTGTCAGTGCCAAAGCCCTCTGCCCCCAGACCGCCAGGCCCAGACACCTAAGGATGGTAGGAAGACATGGGAGATCTCCCTGCCTTCCTGGCCCTCTGGGACGTCTAAGTGGGCAAAACTGGGAGGTGGGTCTTTGTCCCTGGGATTGCCCTTTTAAGGGCAAAAGCCTGCCTGGCCCTTGGAGCCCCCAGTTCTCTGAATTCTAAACAAAGGGAGTTTACTCCAGCCAATGGGAGTTCTCCCCTAGTCTTAGCCTCCTCAGGCAGGAGGGCAACTCCAGCCAGTATTCAGTGTCTGACCAATAGGAACCCTTGGTTTTTAGAATTTCTAGGGTGGGTGGGTATGATTCCAGCCAATGGGGGACCGCCCATGTCTAAGCAAGTGCAAAGGAGAGGAGAGAGATGGGGCAATCTTTTGTCATTGGGTTCTCTCTCAGAATCAGAGTCCAGCCAGAGGGTGAGGGGCAGGCTCCCCAAGGGCAGGGTCCTTGGGGACCCCTTCCTCTCTCAGCTCCTCCTCCATCTACCACCTCTCACACAATCCCTCCTAATTCCCCACTTTTTCAGGGCTTGCCCTGGTTTGGGGTTCAGGGTGTTGTGTCTCCCCTCGCCTGTACCCAGGTCACTCCAAACCCTCTGTTATTTATTAGGGCTGTGGGGAGAGACTTTTTCTTCGAACTCACCCCTGTTCTGCATACTGTCCCCCATGCTCTAGCCTCGTGCAGATGTGCCATTATGGGGGGCATGGGCAAAACAGGGAGGGCTCCCCAACCCTGGGCAGGCAAAGGCAGTGGGCAGAGGAAATACTGCCCCCCCTCCTGCCCCCTCCTCTTTAATAAAGATCTGGCTTTTCATCTTTAATAAAGACCTGTTTATAACAGAATTTTGGCCACCTTCTTTCCTCCCCCAAGTGGTGGTGTGTAGAGGATTTTAACCATGGGTTAGATGTCAGTAAGGCTGGATATGGGTGTATCTTCACAGTGTGTCTGAGGGCTATTGTGGAGAGGCAGTGTGGGGCTCTGGGACAAGCCATTTGGGTTTAAATCCTGGCTCCACCACTTCCTGGTTGTGAGACCTCCGAGGAGTTAACCTCTCTGTGCCCTTGTTTGCTCATCTGTCAAGTGTGGACAGCCCCATAAGCCCCATGTGAGGCACATAAACAGGCGACAAGTGAGGCCTCACATGCCTTTATTCCCCAGAGCAGCTAGTCTGTGGCTGCAGCCAGGTCAGAAGGCATGGGGAAAACAGTGAGGAGAGCTTGGGGGTACTCACAAGGATGGGGGATGCTGAGGGGCTATAGGAATCAAGCCACATAGGACAGCAGGGGTGCTGATGTGTCCCCTGAGCCCCAACCTCATGGACTGAGCTGAAGCCCAGGGAGGGCAGGGGAGCAAGGGAGCCACAAACCTCACTGTGGCTCAGAGAGGGTTCAGAGAGACCAATCAGGGCACAGAATCATCCAGCAACCAGGAAGGGACAGTGTGCTTTCCTCCTCTCCCCCCACATGCATTCATTCATTCATTCATCAAACACTCATGGAGTGCCTACTGTGTGCCGAGAGCTCTTTAAGCTGTTTAGGTACAGGAGCTAGCTCACATTATAACATCTGAGAAGATAAATAAGAGAAATAAACAATAAACAAATCCAAAATTCCAAATTTCCAAAGGGCCTGAAAACCATTTTCTTCACACTCATTTGCAGCAAAACCTGACCTGAACTGACTCAAGCTCACATAGAGCTTTTCTTCTCTGACTTGATGTGAATGTCCCGATGTTTCACTGCAGCTACCTTGATTGGTTTGGGGATTTTGCTTCGGGACCCCTTGGGGTGAGATGCAATACATAGTATTTGCACCATGTTACTTTTTGGAAAAAAGAGCCCTGGTGGCACAGTGGTTAAAGCAATTGTCTGCTAATGGAAATGCTAACACCAGCTGCTACACAGAAGAAAGAAGTGGCAGTCTGCTTCCAGAAGGATCACAGCCTTGAAAACACTATGGGTTTTAACTTTTTCAAAATCCAAAAACTCCTGAATTCCAAACTGTGGACCCAAGGGTTTAGCTAAGGGCTTGGGCTCTCTGATATGTTAGGTATTGATAAGTGATAAGGAGAACATAAGCTAGGAAAGAAGATGGGATAACTGTGGGATTGGGACATGGTTTTCACTTTAAAGTGGGTAGTCAGGGAGGTTCCCTCTGGGGAGATATCATTGGAGCTGAAACCTGAGTGAACAATAAATGCAAAGGCCACAAGGTGGGAATGTAGCTGCTGTGCTCGAGCAACAGTGAGAAGGCTAGGGGGACTGGAGTGGCAAAGGAGGTGGCGGAGTTGACAGTGGGTCATGGTGAATGAGATGGGAGCTATGACAGGGCTAGAGAGAGAAAGGACAGAATCAGGGTGACCCACCAAGGCTTTTGCTTCTACGGCTCGCACCCCTAAGACTCCTGTGGTAGAGTTGCCGCCTCCCTGGTCAGGAGGGAAAAAAAAAAAAAAAAGCTGTCAGCACAGTGGACAGCGCTTCCGGTAGGCCTAGTTGGGGCTGTCCATGGTGCTGATATTGAACAGGGGGACAGAACCAAAAAAAAAAAAAAAAAACCTCCGTCCCATCGAGTTGATTCCAACTCATAGCGACTCCCATTGGGTTTCCGAGGAGGTAAGTCTTTACAGAAGTAGATAAGCCAGTCTTCCTTTGGCGGAGTGGCTGGTAGGTTTGAACAGCCAATCTTCTGGATAGCAATCAATTGCCTTAGGCACTATGCTACCTCATGGCACAAGGAAGTGTCTGGGTCCTCTGAGAAGAGTGAGACAGTGGGCATGGCCTTGCCCCATGTTAAGTAGACAGCACAGACTAGGCTGTATTTGCTTATTCAAACATCTACTTGTGGGTTTCAGACTATCTCAAACTCAACTCTGCCAAAACTGAGCCCTGGTTTAAAATGTAAGTCAGATCATGGCTCTCCTCTGCTCAGAACTCTGATGACTCATAGTAAAAGCAAAGTTTCCCAAACGCCTCAGGGCCTTTATACTTGCCGATATCTCCACTGGAATGCTCTCTGCCCACATATCTGCGTGGTTCATTCCCTTTCCAGTTATCACTGTCTTCAGGGATACCTGCCTGGATCACCTTACTCAAAGTTACAAAACAACAAATTCCTGCTTAAATTTCTCTTAGTGGTCATTATTTGTCTCCCCCACTAGGATGTCAGCTCCACTCGGGTAGATATTTTGTCTACTGTCTGTTCCCTGCTGGGTCATCAATGCCTAGAACAGGACCTGGTGCTCAATGTCTCTTAAATTAATAAATCACTTGAGTATGCTGATAAGTCAGGGAAAGGGACAGACTGCCCGAGTCACCCACTTCCCTACACCCCACCCCTCAATCTAGCCGCTCAGCCCAGTCCTGACCACAGGTGGATACACTCCCACACAGCACCTGCCATGCTTCTGTTAGGATATGAAGATGGCTTTCTGAGAAGAGTGACTGTATGCATGAGAGATATGCCAAAGTCCGTATCTCTGCCAAATGTACTTGTTCAGCCTACATTTATGAGCCCATACTGTTGCAGCAGTCTATTGACAGGGAGCTGCCAGAAATTAAAGCTACATTCAGAAAAGGACATGGGATGAGGGATATCATTGCTGAAAGGAATGAACACCAGAAAGATATTTACCCATGTTTTATTGACTGGGCAAAGGCATTCAACTGTGTGGATCATAATAAATTATGGATAACGTTGAAAAGAATGAGAATTCCAGAACACTTAATTATGCTCAGGAGGAACCTATTATAGACCAAGAGGCTGTCATTCAAACAGAACAAGAGGATACTGCATGACTTAAAATCAGGAAGGGTGTGCATCAGGGTTGTGTCCTTTCACCATACTTATTCGATCTGTCTGTTGAGCAAATAATCTGAGAAGCTGCACTATATGACAAGAACATGGCATCAGGAT